GTAATGCTCAGTGGAGCTGAGGGGAGCTACGGATTCTGGTAATTGTCTGTTCATATTCATCACAACAAGCAACATTTCACAAGAGATTTGCAAAATAGCAATTATAGCCACTTTAGCTCTTACCTTAACTGTTGCATGTGCTTGTTGGACACTCAGTTTGGCAACACTCCCAGACTAAAACACTAAAATCAGTGGAGGGGATATCCCAATGGGAGAGCCCCTCTGTTCTCACACCACCAACCAAAACACAAAGCCGTGTTCACCTCCCAGAGGACGTTGTTAGAGGACGCATTTATCATAACGGTGACATTTCCAATCCTACAATTCCGTTTTATCCTGCTATCTACCAATGAATCAGGCAGACTGGAGTAACAGCTTCGACTAAACCCTCTGCAGCCTCTCTGCTGCTGGAGGAAGGAGAGCGGGGACGGCAGGTTAACAAGGAAGACGCATTTTGGTTATTTGGCCAACAAACAGGATAGCATCTCCCCCTTATGCCACCTCAAATCACCTATTGATTATAGTCAAGCACATGGACTATAAGAAAATAGAATGGAAGCATAAAGATGCTCGCTCAAACACCTTCTGTGTGGTCGGGCCTTTAAGGGCACACACACCGGCAGCGGCTGCTAAAACAACCACCCTCATTATTTTCTATGTACACAACACCACCTTGGACCCAGTGATGTAAAGGCTCCACTTTCCAGGAAACCACTCTTATTATATGTACTTCAAAGTTTGTCACATCCAGCCTGCTGCACCTTTTCTACTTCTTTGATAATCATCAATTACAGTGCGTGAATCAGTAACGAGATGTGGCTAATGTGTGTTGCTCTTAACCATGCAAACAACATGTAGTACAAATAAATGTGCATAATAGGTGTTAAGAAATTTCACAAATACTGCAAATGCTTTACATTAACACTAGAGATGTTGCACAGGAGAGCAAAACAGAAATCAGTGGGCATGATGCCAAAGATAGCGTTTGTATGACACATGTCCTCCGAAAGCCAATGATCTGCTTTGTGAATGTCCGTCCAGCCAATAGGTCGTTGCTTTAACCCAAACATGGTGTGAAACTATGCAAATGTGCAGTAGAAGTTTCGCATGTTGGAAAAAAAATGGTTTTCAAGCCTTATTTCGGCGTATTTTTATCAGATTTGACTGGTGATTCTATACATGCAGTTATATAACCAGTGACATTGCAGCTCCGGTTTCCCCGCTCGTTGACTTCGTTAGAGATCTTGCTTTGTTAGCCCGAAATAACCGCCCGGGGCTGTTACCAAGATGGCTGCTGAGCCTAAGGACTTTGGTAACACCTTGTCAGTCATGTTAAAGCGTCTAATGACAAGTGACGTCGGAAAACAAACAAGCGTGGTCATCAGCTTCCAAACCTGCTGGGGTGGCGTTTAAATTTGGAATCCCGAATGACTTGATTGTATCTGATTATGCTTGTCATTTGCCGTGACCTTCCCCAAGGAACCGATCCAACCTCCGCAGGACAGATGACACAACATAATGGAATTGCATAGCCTGCTATAGTCAGTCTATTAAATTAGCAGCAGGGCGTCTCTGCTCTGCCTCCTTCTTCGCTCTCAGTCTTTCACACCATATTCTTCTGTGCTTTCTGCTGGGGGGCGAGCTCGGCAGTGTTTGCATATTTGTTTTCCACTGTGGTTTTTAATAAGCTCAACTCATAACCACATGATTCTGGCAAAGTCTTTTGTTGTCCGGTCTGTTATTATTTTCCGCCTGTCCTCGCTCTCCTTGGGGGGACACTGGCAGATGAGCTGACAGATTGCTGTCGTTCTGGTGGAGATGTGAGCACTCGGGCAGGCGAGCTGGTTGTGATGGATTTTTATGTCATGATAATTTCATAAGAGCAAAAGGGCTGCACCCACACACACACACCTCCACCCCGTCTCAGCGGCCATTGTGAAGTTATGTGAAGTTGTTTTATGAGCTGCATCCATTTCTGGTTTCTCTCTACGTTGGCGCTCTGTGAAAATACTGACTTTAATTTGGTATGCTGCCTTATTGGTAGGGATTCCGAACGCACGTATAACTCAACTGAGAGCAGCCCAAAATGTGTTATTGCTTCCATGTCATTGGAGCGTGGATCCCCTTCCATTTTCAGAAAGTAGGTGAACGCACTGGGTCAGGATGAGATAATAAGAGGAGTGTGAGAGCGTCGAACGCTTAGTGCTGCGAGGGAGTGGAGCTGCGAGGGAGGGGAGACCATGCTGGAGCGTGAGCTGGAGGAGGTGGTGCTGAGGGGGCATTGGCGCAGGTCCCTCAGAGATATAATTACCATGCAGCTCTCTTTAATTAACACTTGTGCTTATCTGGTAGTCATTAAGATTAGGAATTAGCAACGGGAAACACCAGGGACCTGGAGAGAACAAAGATGATAATTCCTCTCATTCATTTTTAATACCGGTCTCTCGTAGTTCCACGTCAGCATGTTTGATCTGATCGCTCTGTGTGGCCGAGATAAAATGTCTTCTAGACATCCAGACCTGTGGACTTTCCTTGCCGGGGTTTCTTATGAGGCAAAGCAACTTGTTGCGTCACTCGTCCTTGTTGTCAGTACTTTTGTGCACATAAGTGCCAACTTGGATGATCAGAAAAACTGTAGACCTTAGTTTTGAGAGGCACAAGACTGAGACATAAATTGGTAATTTTACGCTTAAAAAATTATTAATAACACACTATACTGCATTGCTCTTACTGTGACATTTCTTTACTGCAGTGTTCTCTAATGTATGAGCAAACATACAAAATAAAATACAACTTTACTGTTCATCTGAGTGTGAAGCTGTCTGTTATTAACCAAAGTATTCAAGCTATGTATGACTAACAATAGACCAAACTCATGTTGGAGCTTCATAATAAAACTTAAAAGATTTCTTTGGCTAACATATAAATCTTTTTACATTTAATTTAATACATTTTAAAAAGAAATTTGCTGAGTATTTTAATAATCCAAAACACTTTTTGAAATATGTACTTTTTAATTTAATTAAATTTTTTGCGGTGAATCACGTCATCTGTCCACCTGCTTGCTAATCATTGTGGCAGCACGTGCACAGCAGGGCGCAGGTGCCGACACTCTACCAGGTAGCTAGCTAGCTAGCATAAAAAGTTAACAATAGAGACGGTTTTCTCAGCACCAAAAGTCTACTCGATAGGAAGAAAAGATACTTAAGCAACTTACAAAACGTTTAGGGCCGAAAACACGTGCAGCACGTGTCCAGTCCAGCGCCAGACAGCCGTCAGCAGCAGCAGCAGCCAGGCTAAGCTAACACGCTAGCGGCTAACAGGTCGTCGAGGAGACGCCCTGCTGCCTCCATCCCGCTGCTTTAATAATGGTGAGTCAGTGTGAAGCTGCTGCTTCGCCACCAGCTGTGTGTGTTCATGTGTACGTAGCATTTACAGTATTCGCTCCAGTTTGTGCTTGTTAGGTACAGAATTAGCATTAGCTTCGTTTAGAGACATTCAGAGCGACGCGCTGCTTTTGTAAAGGTAGTTTAACAGGTTCTCTATTATCCTGCTATATACTTCAAAATATTGTTTCCCCCAATAGTGGAAGAAATATTCAGGTGTTCAACTTAAATAAAAACACCGAAATAGCAATGTAAAAGTTCTTTATGCAAGTAAAAGTCCTGCTTATAAAACCCTACTTAAGTAAAAGTACTCAAGTATTATTCATCCCTCTGACTGATATAATTATTATGAATGACATCATTAGATTGTTAATAGTGAAGCAGGTGGAGCTGCTTTAAACGACTTTATAACCTGTTTTATATCCAGGAACAGCAGATAAATCTTAGAGGTTGTCTCAATATTAATGGGAGACGAAAGAAGAAAAGCCCTGATGCACAATTTTGTCTCAGGTTTTGGGCTGTTTCTTAACACTTTGATTTTGGGCGAGATATTGGATCATTTGAGCATTTATTGAAATGGAACCAAAAAGAAAGATCACTCTTTGAAGCTGTTAACAGTCGATAAACATGTGAAATGAGAGCCCCACTACACACTGGTTTTTCTGAGGAGTCAAAAACATTGGAAACCATTGCTTTAATCTTCTAAGTGTTGTAGTTTATAAGCTTGTTAGATTACTCAATGTGTTAAGTCTACAACTGAAAAGTGCAGTACGTGCAGCCACCAGATAAATGAAGTGGAGTCGAAAGTACAATATTTCCCTGTGCAGTGCGGTGGAGTGGAAGTATAAAGTAGCACAAGTTAGAGATACCCAAGTAGAATACTCATTCCTCAAAATTATGGGCAAGACTTGATTAAGTGTACTGCTATATTAAAGAGTGATTATATTATA